TTTTGGCTGAGCACAGGGGACTTTATTGATGGTACACGACAAGGTGGGGCTCCCTAGGCCCCTCCCTCTCCAAGGGGTCTGCATGGAAACTGTGAGGAGGGGCAATTCAGTGTGGTGGGGGACTCAGTGTGGCAGGGACTCCCCGTCAGTGAGGGCCTCTCTTCCTCTCATGCTCTTGCTGGGGCTGGTGGTCCAGGGGTCTTACTCCTTGGAGGCCATGTGGGACATGAGGTCCACCACCCTGTTGCTGTAGCCAAATTCATTTTCATACCAGGAAATAACCTTGGCGAAGTGGTCGTTGAGGGCAATGCCAGCCCCAGCATCAAAGGTGGAAGAATGGGTGTCGCTGTTGAAGTCAGAGGACACCACCTGGTGCTCAGTGTAGCCCAGGATGCCCTTAAGGGGGCCCTCCGACGTCTGCTTCACCACCTTCTTGATGTCATCATATTTGGCAGGTTTTTCCAGAAGGCAGGTCAGGTCCACCACTGACACGTTGGCAGTGGGGACATGGAAGGCCATGCGAGCTTCCCATTCAGCTCGGGGATGACCTTGCCCATGCCCTTGGCAGCGCCAGTGGAGGCAGGGATGATGTTCTGGAGAGCCCCACGGCCATCACGCCACAGTTTCCCGGAGGGGCCATCCACGGTCTTCTGGGTGGCAGTGATGGCGTGGACGGTGGTCATGAGTCCTTCCACGATACCAAAGTTGTCATGGATGACCTTGGCCAGGGGCGCTAAGCAGTTGGTGGTACAGCAGGCATTGCTGACGATCTTGAGGCTGTTGTCATACTTCTCTTGGTTCACGCCCATCACGAACATGGGGGCATCAGCAGAGGGTGCAGATATGATGACCCTTTGACTCCCTCCTGCAAGTGAGCCCCAGCCTTCTCCATGGTGGTGAAGACGCCAGTGGACTCCACCACGTACTCAGGGCCAGCATTGCCCCACTTGATTTTGGAGGGATCTCGCTCCTGGAAGATGGTGATGGGATTTCCATTGATGACAAGCTTCCCGTTCTCAGCCTTGACAGTGACATGGAATTTGCCATGGGTGGAATCATACTGGAATATGTATGCCATGTAGTTGAGGTCAATGAAGGGATCATTGATGGCGACAATATCCACTTTACCAGAGTTAAAAGCAGTCCTGGTGACCAGGCGCCCAATACGACCAAATCCATTGACTCCGACCGTCACCTTCCCCATGGTGTCTCAGGGATGTGGCTGGCGATGGGAGACAAGATGCGGCTGTCTGTCAAACGGGAGGAGCAGAGAGCCCAAATTTTCAAGTTTTATAAGATAATGTGAAATTGATGTTCAAAATTGTTTTACTAACTTCCACTTCCACTTATACTTCCAATAGTGGCATGTAAAATGTTCCTAGTGATTCATATCCTCACCAATGCTTAGTATTTTCAGATTTCTTAATTTTGCCATCCTAATGGGTAATAATGTTACCTCACTATGGCCCTCATTTAAATTTTTCTGATTACTAATAAGATTGAGCATTCCCTTTCCCTCCCCATTTATTGAACATTTGGAATTTTTTCTTTTCTAAAGTTGCTATTCTAGTCATTTGTTGATTTTTTTCTTATTGATTTGTAAAAGCTCTAGATATATTCTGAGACCGGATGCAATGGCTTATGCCTGTAATCCCAGCTACTTGAGAGACTGAGGTGTGAGGACCATTTGAGCATGGGAGGTCGAGGCTGCAGTGAGCCAAGATTAGGCAATTACACTCTGGCCTGGGCAACAGAGCAAGACCTTGTCTCAAAATAAATTAATAAATGTAGATATAGAAATAAAGATTTTTAAAAATAGATATATTCTGTATTCCAGGTCTTTATTATGTGCTGAAAGATCTTCTTTCTGTGATTTGGCTTATGTCTTAAGACATTATTCCATACCCTGAAGTTAATATAATTTTATCTTCTGAAAGTGTCAACATTTTGGTTTTCACATTTAAATTTCTAATCCAGTGTCTTAGTGTGGGTATAGCTTAAGCTTGCTGAAGAAAATATAACACCAAATAGAGGGGCTTAAAGAATATAGACTTTTGGGGCCTGGCAATGTAGCTCATGCCTATAATTCCAGCACTTTGGGAGGCTGAGGTGGCTGGGTCACCTGAGTTCAGGAGTTTGAAACCAGCCTGGCCAACATGGTGAAACCCTGTCTCTGCCAAAAGTACAAAAAATTAGCTGAGTGTGGAGGCAGGTGCCTATAATCCCAGCAACTCAGGAGGCTGAGGCAGGAGAATCACTTGAACCAGGGAGGAGGAGGTTGCAGTGAGCCAAGATAGCCCCATTGCACTCCAGCCTGGGTGACAGAGCAAGACCCTAAGAGAATATAGACTTTTTTTCTTTTTCAAGTAACTGCTCCAAAATAAGCATTTTAGTTTGGAAATTGGTTTTGCTTTACAGGGTCATTCAAGGAATCTG